ATTTAGATTTTTTTTCTTTTTCTTCATTAATTTTTTTCTTCCTATAGGTTTTTTTCTTTTAACCCAGTTAGTTTTTTTCTTTTTGCTTTTTTGCCTTCTTTATACCTTTGACTGTGGACTCCATAGTGCAGTCCACAGTGAAAAGGTCAATGCATTTTGTTTGTTTTTTTTTTGTTTTTCTTTTTATTTAAATTTTTTTGTTTATTTTAGTTTGGTAATGTTAAATTTTTTTCTATTTAGTTATCAAAGTTTCATGACACGGATCTCGAGTTTAACGGGTTAGCCCAGTTAATTTTGGAGTTACCAATCAATTTTTTTTCTAAACTATCAAACTTTCACAACACGAATCCAATGTTTGACAGGTTAACCTGGTTTGAAGAGTTAACTCAGTTAATTCAGATTTTTTTTCTTTTTCTTCATTAGTTATTTTCTTCATGTTTTTTTTTTTCTATGTTTTTTTCTTTTTACTGAATCTATTTAATTATCATACTTTTATGATACGACCTTACAGCCAGACTAACATCCAAGGTTATTGGACCTGGTATTGCAACCAAACCCACTTAAACTTGAGTTATGCAAGTTTAATATTATTATTATTAATATTATAAATATTACTCTTTGAGTAAACGTTACATCTAAACTCAAGATTCTTGGGTGTAACTTTGTAGAAAAACCTGACACTTTTAAATTTTAATTTTTTTTAATATTTTTTATGTCAAAAAGGATTAACCAACAACATCACGTGAATCATCTAACTAGTATAGAATATACTGGCAACTCTTCACTACTTCAACTAACTGTCTTAACAATTTTTAATGGTTCTAACTAACTTCAGTTAAGGGCTACTTGTGTAATGATTAAAGGATCCCACTTAATGAAAAGCTCTAAAAATATTTAAGGTATATTTGTTAATTATATTTTATAAAATAAAGATTGCTTTCACTTAACAGAAGATTTCAAATAAGAAATAAAAATTGTTCAAACCGGCTCCGACTAGTGTTTAACCAACTCTTCCATCAGATGCCCTTTTCTGCTTTAAGCCTCCATGGTGACTGACTGTTGATGCTGATGCTAATGAACTGTTTCTGCTATATTCTTTCACGTGCTCCTGCTAACTTCTTATAAGCATTTCTTGGTATTTCTTATAGCCCGTAAAAGCCTCATTGAGTAAAGAAAAATACAGTTTTAATAAACGAAAGAGGAAGGCATGGTAGCCTTATTGTTGATTTAACACTCCTGCATCTTGTCGGTGAATAGTCTGTGTATGTTATGCTTATTCTACACTCATGGATCTTGTTGGTGGGTGAATGGAAGTTTCCATGGTTGCTTCCTTGTGATTATCTAGCAAATGGGATGATGTTGCCCTCTCTTCTTTTCCAGTTTTGTTCCTAGCATTGCAGTCAGGTTCAATTTACTGGAAAGGCAAAGTTCTTCATTTTGAAGCTATCTCATCTGTAAGTTTCAGGGCAAATTCTATTTTATTCAAACATTTTTTTAAAAGTAATTTTTATTTAAAAATATATTAAAATAATATATTTTAAAATTTATTTTTAATATCAATATATCAGAACAATATAAAAAATTATTTAAAAAAAAAACATAATATCAACCCCAAAAACAACCCCGACCCCTCTCATCTCGAGGCCATGTATATTTGAGAAAGAGACAAAAGGGTACGCCCATCTGTGTCATCTTGAGGCCATGTACATTTGAGAAAGAGACAAAAGGGTACGCCCCCAGGTCATTCACTGTTCAACCGCCTTTCGAAGTATAAATGGATTTCATGAACGCTCCTAGATTTTTATTTCATTTATAATATGATAAGATTAACGTCAAGAAATTAATCCTCGATGATTTAACAGGTGATTTACAACCGAATGATTGAAATTATAACAAGAACAAGATAATTCAGGTGTCGATGAAGATGGCTGTGCTTCAAGAGATATTTGTGCGGTATAGCCAGCGTTGGGCAAGAAGATCAATGAAAGTTGACTGCCAAGTGACCAAGTCCCAACCCAACCACCCCAATTAACCTGTTATGCCCTTGGTAAAACGAACCAATCAAACATGTGTCCTCTTTGAAGCATCGATATGCATAAGGTAAATCGACCTGCCAGCTTGAAATTAGGTCTTGCTAAATTGCTAGAACTTCAAAACCGCTAGTCTAAAGTCTCTGTGGAAAGAGGAATATGAAGCAAAAGATATCATCTTTTTTTTTTTTTTCTTTTTTGCATTTATGACTAAATTTTACATTTTCTTTTGTTACATCTCTGAACAGTTACTTGGTTTAAACTAAAAGAAAGATAAAGAGAATGAACAAGGAGTAGTGAGAGAGTTCCAACCTTGCTCTACAGAGACCTGCAAAACCTAGAACTACATTGATCTACTCTGATTGGGGGTAGCTCCAACTTGAAGTCATCAAGCACTGGATTTCAGACCTGTTTCCTTCTTCGGTGCCTCTGCTTCCAACACAAACCCTGTAAAATTGGAACAAAAACAGATTATCTAACAGTTCCAACGTCCAGATTTCTCAATTTATATAACACTGAATCACGTTTAACAAAACCCCACGCCATTTCACCACCTTCTCAAGACATACCATTTGCAAGCATTCCATTGGAAGGTAAAGGAGAAGAGCCGTCCGCAGCGAAACCTGCAAATTGAGATTCCAGACTAGAAAAATAATCGCCAGCATCAAGATCAAATGTATCCGGCAACAGATCAGCTACATTATTCCCATCAAGCCCAAACTCATCCTCAGCGTTGTCATAGAAACCGTTCTCATCTTGATGCTGACTTAGCCAGTAATCCCGGAACCATGTTGTCGTTTTCACCAATTGCCACCACTCAGGAGAGAAATCCTCAACTTGCCGATAAGCAGCAGGAACAAAAAGAGGCGCATCTGGGTTCAACGTTGACCTTCCTCCTGAAACCAGAGCCATCCTTTTCAAACCACAACCTCTGCAGTCCTGTACTCCAAAATTCACACAGAAAATGAATGAGATTCAATGCAAGTTATCAAATTATCCTCTTCCAAGAAATTTACTAACTTGTGATCAACATTAATCAACTCATTCAACAAGTTATAAAAATCAATGACAATACACAATTTAAAAAAATAAAATAAAAAAAGTTTGCAAATTATCTCGCCATAAAATAAAGAATTAAAACCTTTAACATCTACCCACGATTAGAAATTTGGCGAAAAGTGATTAAAAATAGTATTAATCTGTTCTAGTAATTCAAGTCAGAATCTTGAATGATCAAGTCAAGTCAACGTTAAATTGACGAACAAACAAAGCCAGCTCAGTTAAAAAAAAAAAAAATCAAAGGTGCTAATCACACAATAAAAGACTATATACAAGAAAAAAAATTATAATCACATCAATCTAACACAAGAATTCACAGATCAAGCAGGCAAACCTCTGCTTGGTTACCGAGAAAAATAAGCAAAAATGAATGAGATTAATTAAACTTAGAAGAAAATCCGAAAATATAATCGCTGAGATAATTAATTGATTTCCCACCCTAAAAAAGACGGATACTAAATTTCATAACAACTATTGTTGTCTGATTTGAACTTCAAAATCTTCATTTTCCTTCCACTTTCTCAGAAAACAAACAAAAATAAAAAATAAAAACCTAAGAACCATGAATCAAAACATATGTAAAAAAAGATCTGATTGATTTGAAAGAAGTTTGAATTTTGAATATATTTCTTTTTTACCTTTGAACGAAGGAGGAAATATCTGTTTCTTGTACGGACCAAACAGCGAAAGATACGTGCGCTTGCTAGGATAATATCGCGAAATGAGCGGGTATTTATAGGGCCGACGACACCGAGCCTGATGGGTGCGGAAATTGCGAGCCTTAGGTTCGGAATTAACGAATCATCCCATTGCCTTGATGGGGTGGGAACTGTACGGCCGGCGCGTTTGTTGCTTTTATATAACCGGTTATCAGCCGGTAATGGGTTAGGTGTTTGTTTTTGACTTTTGACCTTCTGAAGATAAGGAAGGATGGTTTGTGTGTCAGCATCATTGAGCTATTGTTTGGTGCTGACACGTAGTTTTTTAAATATTTTTTATTTTAATTTTTTTAAAATAATAATTTTTATTTCTAAAATTAATAAATTTAAACAATTTAAAAAAATAATTTAAAGTAAAAAAAACTTTAAAAATATAATCACACTACAATAACAAACAAACCTTAACTATAAATCTAAAACATTATCATATAATTGTATGGATTGTTTACACTATTTTTAAAATGTGTAAGGTATTTTTTTATTTTAAAATTATCTAGAAAAATATATTTCGGTTCCAACTTTATTTTGGTTTTTTAAATATTTTTTTTTTAAAGCATAGATGAATTTATCAAATTATCATGATATTTTCTATATGTTTCGGTTAAAATGAGTTGAGCAATTAATTAATTTTTGGGTGAAAGAAAGTTCAATCTTAATTTTTTGATCACTGTGGTGTTTAAAAATCAAATAATATCAAACAACAATTCATTTAATTTATTTTTTTCAAAAACAACAAGGGTGGGCAAAATGATATATCATCCATTGCATTCCAGTCCTTGACCTAGCAGTGGAAGGAGCTTGTCTCCTTCCATTGCACCTGGGTTCGAGCCCTAGTGTGCATACTTGTCACCTCCACGGTGTCTTACATGTCTACTGGGTTTGTAGAATATTCAGTGGGCCGTGGGGATTAGTCGTGGCGCGCGCAAACTGTGCCCCCCCCACCCAAGGTAAACCAAAAAAAAAAAAAGGGGGCCAAGCGCATTGGACCTTTTAAATACATCGAGAGCACTGGTCTAGCCTGTCAGACTACTAGTGTTTTGGTTTTTTTTTTTTAATTAATGTTTTTTTTTTCATATGCATCTTACAATATAATTTGTGAATTAATACTCTTTATATATATATAACTTGTTTTAAATAATGGTTTTTTCTTAGTTATTTTGTATGCATTTGATTTTTTAAGAGATTATTTTAATTTATTTATAAATTTGTTTTATGTTTTATATGAATAAAATTTATTTTAAAAAATAAAAATATTTATTTTCATATAATAGTTTCAATACATGTAACCTTGCATGATATTTTTGTTGTTTTTTATTTTATTCAATTAATTTTATGTATTTCTATTTTTATTAATATTTAATTAAATAAAAAATCAATTATTATAAACAAAATCGTTAAATACAACCGTGTCAAAGATCCATGTTCCAAGATCAATTATCATGGTTTATATTCGAATCTCAGTTTTTTATTATTATCTCTATTTATCATTAATATTTTATTTATTTATTTATTTATATTTTCAATTTTATTTTATTAAAATATATATACAAGCTCTTTGATTTTAACTTTTTATATTTTAAGATAAAAAAATATTAATAAAACCAATATTTTTAATTTTTTTTTTAAAAGTCAATTATTAATAAAATATAAATCAAATAACTAATTAAATTTTTATTACTCGTGAAATTGGACTCGTTGTACATGCATTATGCATGTACATGCATGGATGTTGAAATAAAAAATATTTAATTTTCATTTATTGATTGAGAAAAATAACTAGTTTCAATTTTTAATCATTCATTAATTTATAAGAATTTCATCATTAAAATCTAAATTAATGGTTAGGTTATCATTAATTGTTAATTATGTTACTAGCAGGTTGAGAGAAGGCTTGTAATTGAGTTCAGTCTTGTATTTTATTTTTGAAGTTGAAGTTAAAGAAAAAGGTTGCCAGAATCTTTTTCAAACGTATCGGCTCGGATTATAATTATTTTTACAGACCATTTGAATTTAAAGTAACTTTCGGTTTTAAATTTATAATAAAACACTAGCTTTAAACTTTTGACCAAGATCTTGTTTGATTTTTTTTTTTCAGGAAAGGAAAATAAAATAGGTTAGCAAAGGAGATTGAGTGTGACATTAGCAGCATGGTTATAAGATACAACCCAACTTGTAACTCGATTTCAAGTTTATATAATGGGTTTGACGGATTAATTTATAAGTATAGATAAATCAAGTTAAATATATTAGTTTTTTCAATAAAATTTTTAATTAATTTTTAAAAATATTAATCAAGCTTGAGTATTAATTAAATAACTTGGTTTTAATTAATTCAATTTTCTAAACAATTTAAAAGTAAATTTAGCTCGAGTCAGTTTCCAAGTCAATATATCTATGAGATGAAGTTTGAAAATTATATCTAATTGTTTTAAAATAGCTAAAAGAAATTAAAAAAACTGAAGTTTATGGCTTCATGTATTTTTATTTAGATTAAAAAAACTCCCTCTCCCTCTCTTATCCTCTCGTAAGGTTGCATTATTATATAAAGTTTTTGACTTGATGTATATAAATTTTGATATCAATTTAAAAGTTATTGCGTTCCATTGTTACAAATAAAGTTTTCATCGTCCTTGATACTCTTTTTTTTCTTTTTCTCTTTTTTTCCATTCCAATGTATAAATGCAATAACTAACTTTAACGTGTTTTGGGCGGATCAAGATAACGTTTAGGAATGTGAATTAATTTTTAAAAAATAAAAAAATTATATTATTATATTTCAAAACAGAAAATATTTTAAAAAATAACTTAACTAGTTGATTTGTATAGTTTTAGTTATAAAATTCAAATAAATTTGGTTGCTTGCTCCATGTCTTAATTGATTCCTGTTGAATTTTTTATTTATAAAAATCCAATTAGATATTGAGGTTGACTCTCAATCCATTTGTTAAGGGGCAAAACACCGTCTTCAATTTATTGATTTTTTTTTAAAAAATTAGATTAATCTCCAATTTAACCATTTTTTAATTTAGATTTTATTCCAAGTTATATGTACGCCCACGATTATTCTATGATGTATCCGCTTATTCTTTAACGTGAACAAGGCACGATCACAGTCTCTTTTTTGCCCGAATTGCCTTTTTTAAAAAAAAAAATAAAGAAAAGGAAAAGGAAAAGGTGGAGAGAGAAATTATGGAAAATGGCAACCAAACACCTTTCACAATTATGCTGGAATATAATTAAAAGTGTGGTGAATCTCACCTGGTCAGTGTGTTAATATGTTTTTTTAAAAGTTTTTATTAATTAAAAATATATTAAAATAATACTTTTTTATTTTTATATCAGCATATCAAAATTATTTTAAAATATTTAAAAAATTTTAATTTAATATTTTTTTATATGTAAAAAATAATTTTAAAAACAGTTTATAATAAAAAACAAAAATTCATTTAGTGTACATAGGATACATAATTGTATAGTTTTGGTCAACAAGCCTACTCGGTTGGTGTTTATAATGATGTCCTGACCACGTCCTGGCGACTGAATTATCAATGCAATTGGTATTTTCTTAGTTGTAATAAAATTTTATTTTCTTAAATATATTTCAATTTGGGAACCAAAAAAATTTCTTAAATATATTTCAATTTGGGAACCTCTAAACTTGATGTAACACATTTTAACTATGAAAATGTTTGATATTTTTTTCAAATCTAAACAATATAAACACCGTGGTAATATAAATTTTAATTATGTTTAGTCATGTATTTAAAATTATTGTATTTTTAAATATTTAAACTTACAATATTAAATTAATTATTCTTCTTGTATTTTGATTTTGATAGGTTGATTTGAGAATTTTCAGATAAAATAGGGAGAAAATATCAAATATTTAAATATATTTAAAAAACTATGTATTTTATTATCAAACAATCGCTTAATATTTTTTAAATGAATTTTTTTTTAAAATGTTCTTTTTCAAGGCATTGTTTCATCAATTTTTGCATGAATTTAACCTCCTCGCGTTGATATTTTTTATTAAATATTCAAATATAAAATGGTGTACTAATGGATTTTGTTTCCACTGTAAAATTTATATTGTTAAAGTTCTGAGATGATAATTCTACATTAAAAAAATTCTCATAAATCATTGTTTTTTCTGATTTTTTTCTAGAAAATTGCATAATGTGACAAAATTAAAAACACAAAATTGCAAAATAAAATAAAATTAAGAGACTTTTTAAAATAATTTTAAGATAAAAATATATAAAAATATTTTTTATATTTTATATTTTATTTTTAACATCATTACATCAAAATAATTTAATTTTTAAAATAATTAAAAAATAAAAAATAATCTATTAAAAAAACAATTAAACTGCAATAATAAACAGTGCTTAATTATTCAAACCATGACAACGGACCCACCCATGTGAGCACTTATTGACCTTGCAATAAAAAGCTAGCTAATAATTAACACGGTTTCGATGTAATTTTCAAATAATCAATGGTTAGGATCATCGAACTTGATGACGACACGTACTCAAAGTGGGACCACATTAGGTAACCGAGCACCCGGTTGGGGGTGCTGTACACATGGCGTGCTGGTAGGTAAGATAAAAGCGTGATCATTGATTGATGATACCTGCCATATCCTGCCAACCACAAGGAATACATCATAATCATTCCGTCTAATCTCATTATAATTAAAGACAGAATACGCATACTATACATTTATAAAAACAATTTATTTTTAAATGCTAACTTCTTAAATTAAAAATAAAAATTTTAAGAGAAAATTATTTTTTTTTATCACTAGTTAAAATTAAAAATTAAATATTTAAAGCAATATTTTATTTTTTCTAAGTATTTTCCATGGTTTTCATTAAAATAATTTTAAAAAATTATTTTTTACCGGTCTAAAGATAATTTAAATAATATTTTTGTATTATAAAATAGTAACTAAATAATTAACAACATCATCGAAAATGGGTGGTTCGTGCCTTACCTTGCGGACAATTTCTGGCATT